GAGATTGTTAGTCTAAGTGTAGACCCAAAGATGAAGCCGAAGCTAGAATCAAGAAGATGAAACGAAACGAATGAAACAGGAAAACTGCAGTGCGGTCGATTGCGGTGCTCTCGGCAGTCGACCGCGAATGTGAACACGACTGAGAAAAGTTTCTGGACTTTTCGTGGTCAACCACGATAGGTTCTGCAGTCAACCGGAGATACCCTGTAAGCGTTTTGGGTTTATGTCGTTTATCCGGTTGACCGCGACTGGTTCGGCAGTCGACCGCGAGTCGAGCTGGCAGTTTCCTAATCTGTTTTGAATTCTGTTTGGGCTGAGATTCATATATATATCTATATGTTTTCTAGAGCTAAGAAGAACGTAAAAAACCATCAGAAAGAGAGAAGAGAGAGAGAGAATCTCAGAGAGATTAATCCCTTGTTTGAGTGCTTGTATTCTTTCTTCAATTAATTAAAGAGATTGTGTGGTGTGGCTCCCGAGGACATAGGCACGTTCCCGAACCTCGTTAAATTCGTGTATTCTTTCTTAATTATATGTCAATTTACAATAGTTTTAAGGACAATTGTGTAATAACCGTATCATGTTAATTAAAATTTCCCCCTATAATTGCACAAATTGCAATACATAATTTGTTGATAACTAATTATTATATATAAATTACAAAAGGTTTAAATTTATAGATTATGGAGTGTGACTTAACTTGGTGATCGGTAAAATTGATAGCAGCATCTTCCATAATATAACATTGTCCTATGGTGATTGCTCATACCATTTCATATGCTCGCTGATTAAAGACAGAAAGTTGCACTTAATGAAGATTTTGGGGAGTCAAAACACGACGGATATGTTAATGAAGACAGTCACTATTAAGAAACTAGAGTTGTGCGCAACTTTAGTTAGCCTTCATGAGTAGAAAATAAAGGCGGAGCCACACTAGGAGGATCAGCAAGATCACCGGGATGTTGATGATTAAATAAAGGATTTTTTCGGGGAGGAGAAGATACTTGCGAAAAATGAAAGAGTTCGAGTGAACTCGCTGATGGCACTTTGGTCTCCACGTGAGAGATTGTTAGTCTAAGTGTAGACCCAAAGATGAAGCCGAAGCTAGAATCAAGAAGATGAAACGAAACGAATGAAACAGGAAAACTGCAGTGCGGTCGATTGCGGTGCTCTCGGCAGTCGACCGCGAATGTGAACACGACTGAGAAAAGTTTCTGGACTTTTCGTGGTCAACCACGATAGGTTCTGCAGTCAACCGGAGATACCCTGTAAGCGTTTTGGGTTTATGTCGTTTATCCGGTTGACCGCGACTGGTTCGGCAGTCGACCGCGAGTCGAGCTGGCAGTTTCCTAATCTGTTTTGAATTCTGTTTGGGCTGAGATTCATATATATATCTATATGTTTTCTAGAGCTAAGAAGAACGTAAAAAACCATCAGAAAGAGAGAAGAGAGAGAGAGAATCTCAGAGAGATTAATCCCTTGTTTGAGTGCTTGTATTCTTTCTTCAATTAATTAAAGAGATTGTGTGGTGTGGCTCCCGAGGACATAGGCACGTTCCCGAACCTCGTTAAATTCGTGTATTCTTTCTTAATTATATGTCAATTTACAATAGTTTTAAGGACAATTGTGTAATAACCGTATCATGTTAATTAAAATTTCCCCCTATAATTGCACAAATTGCAATACATAATTTGTTGATAACTAATTATTATATATAAATTACAAAAGGTTTAAATTTATAGATTATGGAGTGTGACTTAACTTGGTGATCGGTAAAATTGATAGCAGCATCTTCCATAATATAACATTGTCCTATGGTGATTGCTCTTGTGTGGTAATGGGGACAGTTGTGCAGGCAAAGAGGATTCACAACTGTCCTCAATATGTGGATACTTCAGATACATCCCTTATAGGGAAAGTACCGGTCAGTAGACATTCACAGGTAAAAGAGAACAAAGAAAAAGGAAAGATGATTTTCCTAACTCCATACAGGTGAAGACGTTCTTTCAACCTGCACTTAGTTTTTTATATGTCAATTTACAACAATTTTAATGATAGGACGATTGTGTAATAACCGTATCATATTAATTAACATTTACCCTTATGTTCGCACGTTTTAAACTAAAAGGTTAAGATGAACTATCTGGTTTAACAAACAAATTTATCCTGTTGAACTTTTCCGTAGTTATTGGAAAGCTGAGCCATCATACTCTTAATTCAAGACTTTGGATCAGTATGCAACAGTTTCTTGATACTTTACTTCAATTGACTGCAGATTAATGGATGATCAATTGGAATCAGCACATTTGTTATATCCAAATTGCCAAGCAACATGGAGTAAAGGTTTTTATCACAGCAGGTACAATCACCCCAACCTAGCCAACAAAGCTTAAACCGTTCATTTAGTCAACGATTCTTACTAATTAAGATCTGTCCAACTCCAGGGAGTAAGGAAAAACTAGCTGCCTGGCAAAAAATTTGGCACCAATGTCTGCATAAACTATAAAACGGAAGACTTTGTAGCACAAGTGAAGCAAGAAACATAAGGACATGGTATTTCTCTTTAACTTTCAAAATACCTTAGCTTATTTGTGTTCTCAATAATCTAAGACGTTCCAATTGGTATAGGTGTTGATGTTATACTTGACAATGTTGGTGGCCCTTACTTTCGAAAGAACCTCGACAGCTTAAGTATTGATGGAAGGCTGTTTATTGTTGGTTTCATGGGAGGTGTAGTTACCCAAGTGTGCCTTTCGTGCTTGCTTGCACGACGTCTTACTGTTCAAGGTATCAATATTGAAATTTTAGTCCCTTTCCTCATTGAATGAAATAAAAGATGTAGATTCACAGAAAGACGGTAGATTCTGTCCACAGTTCCAGCATATCTGGATCTGTTATCAAGTGTTTACTTTGAATCTCATTGTGGAGGTATTTTTGGACTATTTAACGTGCTAACTTAAACTTGTTACTCAGTTATGTTTGTAGGTAAAGGTGAATCAGAAATTTTCAGAAAAAATAAAAGCAATTAATTTTTGACAGAGAAACATGAATATCCCAAAAATCATGGAAAGGTTCTTTGGAATCGGATATGCTCAGTTGGAGGAAAAATATTTAAAGACGACAATTTGTTTCCTCCAGTTTGTAAAAGTATCAGTGCCTTCCACAACCAAGCAACTCAGAAGAATCTCCTAGAAATTAATAACATCTGGGGAATAACTTGAGGGATCTGGAAGAAATCAGAAATTTTTCTTGGATTGGACTCTAGATCATTTTCTTCATTCACTTCAGTTGTTTGTATCAGAAGCATTTATAGAACGATAGTTCAAATGTGCAACCTCTGAAGTTGTGGGGCTGAGGCTTATAGTTTAATATTCTAGCATATCCTTACAGGTCGAACATTCGTTTCATGGGCTGAAATCTCGGTTATTTTATTATATAATAATATACTTTTTTTCTAAAATATGCTTTGTACGTGCCTGGTGGAGTTTAAAGATGGATTGCTTTAATATCATATTAATATTCCTTTAATGGTGTACCAAAAGTCCAAATTTATGATGAGATTTAAGAGGTTATAATCTTATAATCCAACAATTCTTATTCTACAACTTATTTTTGGTGTGAGCAGCTGCAGGATTGAAGAGTAGAACCCCTGAGAAGAAAGCAGAGATCGTTCACGAGGTAGAGAAGAACGTTTGGCCAGCTATTGAAGCTGGGAAAGTGAAGCCTGTTGTGTATAAATCTATTCCTCTTTCCGAAGCAGCTGAGGCTCATAAACTAATGGAGAGTAGTGAACATATTGGAAAAATATTGCTAATTCCATGATTAGCAACTAGCATTTACAGGGCACAGAAATAAATGATATGATGTATTATAAACTATTTGTGATAATACAGTTGGAAGGAGCTTCGCATACACACACACATACATATAGACATATGGCATTTATATAAATCCTTGTTATGTTTTTGCTGAGGAGTTAATACTGAGGAAAGAAAAAGCAAACTGTAAGTTAGCTATTATGGTGATAAGAGAGGCAAAATTAAACAACACCAACACAGCTTTTATCCCAAATTTATGGAATTAACTGCATGAATTCTACTCTTCTGCTCAGTTCTCATGATGGCTATCCCAACATATGGGGTTAGTTGCATGAATTCCACTCAATTCTGTTGGGAGGCTACTCCTCCCCTGATGAATAACCATCATATACTCCCTAACACTTTCTAACTGCTCTTTAGGCCTTTCTAGTCGTCCTTTCTCTATTTAGTTATAATCTTGTCATCGTTCATAACTGGTATATTTAATGGCCTGCATTTGATAAACCATCTCATGTAACTCTCTCCCATTTAACTCACAATAGGGGAAGATATGTAGTTTATTTCACAACTGGGAAAGATATCTAATTTTCTACGAAATGTTCATTCTTATCTTTGTCTTTTAGCGTATATGCACTCCTATCATAACATTCTTATCTCTGCTGTGCTCATTTCTTACCCATATTTTTTACTTGTGATCCATAAAACACTATTGAGTCTCCGGAAAATTAACTATACTTTAGGTGATAATTGATTAAACCACTATTAATTTGTAAAGTAAAATATAATGCTAGCAATATGGAGGAATTTGGTACCAAACACAAGTTTTTGTGTTTGGTAGTGATGTGGCTCATTCACATCAACTTATTCAAATGGGAAACTACATTCACATGGATTGGAGAGTGAATAAGAATGAGACACATCACTATCAAATATAAAATTTATATTCGGTACCAAAATCCTACATTTTTCTTATATAATACAGATGGTATATATCGGTAAATATCTATTAATATATTTGTGTGCGTACACAAATTCACACACAAAATGCACCTCGCAAATGTTTTTTGTGCGAAGAAGTCACAATAGCAGTCCTGTCATTGTACAGGCCCAAAAATAACAGCAGGCCGGCTTAAGGCCCAAAGCACTTTTCAGACGAACCCTTCAACCCGCTCTCATCTGAGCGAACCCTGCAAAATTCTCTCATTTCTTCCTCAAAAACCCTAGTTTTTTTTTTCCTCGATCGCTGTCACCTCCAACTATCGCAGACGAAGTGAAAGCGGAATCAAGTATCGAAGAATATTTTCACCTCTTGGTTTGTTCTCCTTTAATCTTTTCTTTTCCCGATTGTTTTTTTCTGTGGTTTATTTCCACCAAAGTTCAAATTTGTGAGCAAGTTCCCTTTTTTCTAACACTCAGAATGTAGTTATGAGTTTATAAACTAGGGTTCTGATTGCTTAGCGGCATTGCTTCATTTGGTCCCTTGAGAGTTTAGGGGTTGGTCTCCAATTACGCGTACTTTGGTTAATTGAGAAAAAAGCCATAATTTAGGGTTTGATTGAGATCATGTGAGGACCGTACTAGATGCCTATGTTTTTCCCTATAGGAAATGGTTTTTTTTTGCGACATTCCTTAAATATTTAATCATTTGGAATTAGAAAGATATCATAATAGGGTACTTAAATTAATAGCAATTTCAATGATTTGATAGACTAAATTCAAAACATTTAAGATTTAAGGGCGTAATATATAAAAAAATCCTTATTTTTACATTTGTTAATTCTTGTCTAAAGATTATCTCGGTCTAATTAATACACAATTTGGTACGAGAAAGTCGAATAATCTTATACATGGGACTTTGTTAGAAAATTTGAAAGAAAATTGTGCAAAGTATGAATAGATGTCCGTAAGTGAATTCCAGATGACCACTGTCTCATTATAAGTCATGGTGGATGGTTTTACCTTGTTATTGTTCTTTATAATTCAGTAAAATGGAAGCCATGGACATTTGAATTGCATTAAGAAAAGATTCAATATTTGGAAATTATAATTTCAAGTCAAAGTGTCAGTTAGTTCAACCAGAGTGCCAAGGTCAAGAAATTTTATCAAGTATAATAAACAATTTAAACTAAGGATGCCATTTTTTTCCATGAAATAGTTCAGAATTTTGCTTCTACTTTGCACTGGGTGCCCTTAAAAATGGTCAGAAAGCATAACAGAGTATATTTAACAGTTAGCTTTCTGAGCATCATTTATGAACAATATAATATACCCCACTGACACAAACGATCATGTTGAAAATTTGTCATGCAGAAAATGTGTTGTTAAGAAATGTTACTTTGCACCAAATACTTGTGAATCTTGGAGCAGTTATTTTTCACCAATAATATCTGTAGATATACAAAGGTGTGAACTTATGTTTGTTGTGCAGGCTGTGATCATATTTACATGGAGAGTACCTCTAGTGATGATGAAGAGTCACTTAGAGATAACAATGTGGATCTCAATGATGACAATTTAGAGCACCACTTAACATTGGATGTGAGCAATCATTTAGCTGAGTCAGACAACATTTTCTCCTCCCATCAGCAGTTCTCAGAAAACCCCGAACCATTTGTCGGTATGGAGTTTGAGTCTGAGGAGGCTGCAAAGTTGTTCTATATGGCATATGCTAGTCGCATAGGATTCTCAGTGCGTATTAGCAAGTCACGGCGTTCAAGAAATGACGAGTCCATTATTATGCGACGCTTTGTGTGTTCTAAGGAGGGATACCATATGAAGAAAGAAAATTTTGATGATGGAAAGAAGAAGAGAAGGCGGCCGACCATAAGAGAAGGTTGCAATGCGATGATTGAGGTAATTCAAAAATACTATGGCAGGTGGGTTGTCACTAAGCTTGTTACTGAGCACAATCATATCGTGGCAGCACCCAGCAGGGTGCGTTATATTGCACCTGAAGAATATGCTGACATGGAGCCATTCCTTGGCATGGAATTCCCATCTCATGAAGCTGCACAGACTTTCTATTATGCATATGCTAGCCGAATCGGTTTTGATGTCCGTATTAGGCTCTCCCGCCGTTCAACACGTGATGAATCCTTTGTGATGCGACGATTTGTGTGCACTAAGGAAGGTTATGCTCCATTGGAAGAAAATTCTGATGAAAGCAAGAAGAAGAGGAACCGAACTCCTACTAGGGAAGGCTGCAAGGCAATGTTTGAGGTTATGAAAAAAGATTATGATAGGTGGATTGTTTCTAAGCTTGTCATGGAGCATACTCATGACCTGGCGATTGCACCAAGCAAGGTGCATTATATTCAGTCACAGACTGAAGTAGTCGTTCTTGCAAAAAGTGGCACTGTTAATCGCGAGAAACCAGTAGCTCTTGCTAATTCAGGGCCTCAACATGTAGAAGCATTTGGAGGCTTTAATAATCTTCCCTCAATTGACCAGGACCCTAGAATAGATGCAAGAGATCCTCGACAAACTGCTTATGGATTAGAAGACACTCAGAGATTATTGGATTACTTCAAAAGGAAGCAAGATCAGAATCCTACATTCTTCTATGCATTTCAAGTAGACAAGACTAATTGCTTGACTCATGCCTTTTGGGCAGATGGAAAAGCTAAGATGTCTTACTTTTGCTTTGGTGATGCAGTGACACTTGACACATCTTATAAGGAGAACAAATATATGATGCCTTTTGTCATGTTCACCGGTGTCAACCATCACTTCCAATCTGTTATTTTTGGATGTGGGTTGCTAACTGATGAGTCAGAGGCATCGTTTATTTGGCTACTCGAAAACTGGCTTATCGCTATGTGTGGGCGCCCTCCAGCTTCTTTAGTTACTGATCATCATGATGTTATAAGTAATGCTGTTTCCAAGGTCTTACCAAACACTCACCACCGACTGAGCAAGTGGTATATCTTGAATAGATTGAAGGAAAAATTTTCCAACTTCTATATCTTACATCCTACTTTTGAAGCAGACTTGATGAAGTGTATTCATGAGTCTGAAACAGTTGAAATATTTGAGGTTCGGTGGAAGTCATTGCTTGATAATTATGACCTAAATGAGAGCTCATGGCTGCATTTTCTATACAATATACGTGAAAAATGGGTTCCAGTCTACCACAAGAACATATTTACTGCAGAAATCTCTGTCACCCAAAAGCCAGAAAGCTTGAACAAGTTGTTTGAGAAGTATTTCAATACAAAAACCACCCTAGAAGTTTTTTCTTCTATCTTGGAACATTCATTGGCAGGCTGGTATGATAGAGAAAGCTTAGAAGATTTCGCTTCGTCATATACCAGTCCAGTTTTAAAGACTCCTTCTAGCATGCTAAAACAAGTTTCAGAAATCTACACCAGGACAGTATTTGATATATTCCAGGAGGAATTTGTTGAGTCTTTGGGTTACTTTGTTGACAAAATCGAGGATGGGGCGATTTGCAAGTATAATGTTGCAAAAGATGAAGATGTTGAAACCTCGTGCACAGTTATGTACGATCCTTTGGAAAAGAGAACAAGTTGCAGTTGCTGCAAATTTGAGAGTTCTGGCATCTTGTGTAGGCATATATTGAGAGTCTTTTTAACAGTCGATGTACGTTTAGTCCCTGAGTATTACATCATAAAACGGTGGACAAAAGACGCCAAGACCGCTTTTGTAGGATAAGTTAATGTGAATTTAAAATATCCTATACAATACCATCATTATATGTCACCTTTTGAGAGAGGAGGTCTCAAAGTTGTTATCCGTTGAGGTTTACGCACCATCGCAGAGTTGTGGTAAAACTGTAAAAGAAAAAGGTTTTGTGAACTGCTCAGGTACTTGTTCTGTCAATGACACCCAGGCATTAAAATGGTATTGGTTGAATGTATAGAAACTGCAGATTGATTCTTGCATATTCTTGTGTACTTTGTCAGACATCTTTGAACCACGAATCTGTATATCCTTCAATTTTCTGACTAGTTATCTTATCATCAGTCTGTTAATGCTGCTAAGATGCCTAATTGAGCCTGAGCTAGGTTGAAGGTGGAATTCATCACGATGACCAATATAATAGTAGTAAAGTAAAAGAAAATGATACTGTTGAATACATCTTGTTTCCTTGCGTATAAGGTTGTTTGGTGATTAGTCTTAGACATCAGTTCTTCAAATCATTCTGTGTTTTATCAGATATTTTTAATATACATCTCAGTTGTCTGCATGATAATTTTTCCTGTTACCTATTTATTTATTTATTTACTTGAAGCAATAATATGTCGATGCTCCTGGATAGTAACTGATGCTATAGACATTGGCAAATATTACTTTGTGCTCGTACTCTCTGAAATTAGGAACAAGGAATTGCTTGGGACTCTTTTTTGTTTCTTTTATCTTTGCACGAAAATGTATTAGGCCTTTCTGTTTCATATTTGTTCATTAGTACTGTTAATATTGGCGAGCTGTTATCAATTTGTAGTTATTAGCATAGGAAAATTATGCTTTGTGCTTCTTTTCAGCGAGGAGAGTGGCTTCATGGTTTATGCTCGTGGTTATAAGAAAGAAATTGTGGTGTCGGTCTTCTTGAGTTTTAATCTTGATGTTTTCTTCCCCTTTTTTTCTTCTTTGCATTTTGGTTCTATATTGTACCTGGCTAATTTTGACCAAGATTATTGCGTGCCACTTCTTTTATAAGGATTGACATTTATGTTGAAATAACTTTGAAGAGCATGAATTTGATATCCATGCTCTAGAGGGATATTTGGGTCATGTAACGGTTTGATTGGCAAATTGCAGTATTCACGTAAATGGTCTCATGACTCTCATCTGGCATTTTACCCCCTTCTTTTATTGCAGAATGGACCAATCTGCATCAGTTTTTGGGTTGGAACTAGAGGTGCCAAACCGTATCCGTATCCGAGGAAATATCCGTAACCGTATCCGTTAGGATATAAATATGGTTACTCAAATCTATTACCGATAGGATATGGTTGCGGATATGGTTTTGTAGTGAAATATCCGTATCCGTATCCGAAAAAATCCGAATACATATTGGTAATACTTTTACGATAGTTTCGATTCTTAGATTATGGATTTGTGGTTAATTTTGATGATCAAGATGTCTAAACTTAGCTTTTCAATCATAATGAACATATTAACGAACTCTTTTTGTATCACATGACTATATTTTTCTGAATACTATCTAGTTTTCTCATATCCTTTTTGTATCTGCATGCATATCCGTTTATATATCCGCATCTATATCCGTAACCGTATCCGATTTTGGCGGATATGGATATGAATTTTTCTTACCGACATATATCCGTATCCGTATCCGTATCCGAGATGGGTAAGCGGATATGGATATGGTAAGTACCATATCCGAGCCGTATCCGCTCCGTTAACACCCCTAGTTGGAACTGCCCTATGAGTCTCTCATTCTTCAAATGGCTTTGGCGATGTACCCTGAAGGTAATGTACGTGGACCATATTCAAAAGACTTTGCATTCAAGTCCCGCATTGATCCTGTGTTTTAACTTCCGAAAGTTCTTCTATTTCCCTTAGATGGTCCCATTTACTGCGTTCTGAAGTGGAAGTCGATGATTGTAAAATAACTAGTTCTGATTGAATTATGCTGCTTCTTGGTTTCTTCTTCTTCCCTTTTATTTATTTATTTATTTATTTATTTATTTATTGGGGTGGCGTGTGGTTATGTAATAGGTTTATCTTTGCAGTCAAAAGGTTTATGGATGGAGATACAAGGAGATGTTATGTGTTGAACTTTTGATGAATCCTTTTTCAGTATTTTGTCAGGTAATTCTGTCAATATTTCCTTTTCGGTAAACTTCACTAAACCCCCATTAATTTTGGCCTTTTGTCATTTAAACCCCTAAAATTTTGAAACTCTCACTAAACCTTTGAT